AGTCGGAAAGGGACGTCCTAGGCGAAAATTTATCGACCAAATTGGCGATTTATTGAAAACGGGCCAAATTAGGAGTACCCTTAACCGACGAGCATGCATGCGTAGATGTATGGATGTGAAGGAGGCGAGAGAGGTGTGTCAGGATCGTGCCAAATGGAAGTCTGTAGTCTCTGCCTACCCCTCTGGGTGACAGGCGTGAGTGTTTATGTTTATATGTTTGTCAATGAACAATAGATAAGTAGATAAGAACAATGGAGCGCTAATGACAGTGGAGGCCTTCACCGGATATCAATTAGATAAGAGTTAATTGATCTGCACATCTCCGGAACCGTGTATCTTACGCAAAATTGGACCGCAGATTCGTGATCAGAGCATGCCAGAACCTTCTTTTTAAGATTGTGAGTCGACGAACGTCGTACTTGTACCACTTCTGACTCAGTGCGCCAGAACTGGTACAACCGAACTAGTGCTGTCTAGAGGGTGCGGTCAAATTTAAAGTTGACACCCAAATTATTTTAGTTTTTTATATAATTTTCTTTTATATTTTAAATAAAGTTTAAAAAAAACAACGAAACTGTGTACAAAACTTACTAATTATACTTTCATTAAAATTCTTACGGCTATATTTTAAAACGGCAAACCATTGTTAGTAATGAAATGTAAATCATTAGCGGTGGTGATTACTGATTACACGATGGGATCTCGGAGATCTAAAATATTCACAGCGGTACTGGAAATGAATGGTCTACGTTGTGAACCGTTCGTAAATCAATTATTCGTAGTGATGATGACCAAACTGTACAAGTATTCCAGTATAAGGGATATTTAACTTACTGAGTATCATGCTAGGAGTTGACGAATGAACGCCGCATTTCTCCGATTTTAAATTGACATTATAGGCGTGATGCAAGTTGTTATCAAATAGATTATCTCCTGGCGCAGACATATACTTGGTTATTTCTGGGAATAGAACTGGCTTGAGGTCTAGCGCTTTCAACCATTCCGACTGCAATGGGCAGCAGACCTGAAGTTAAAAATATATCTTCATGTGAATGTCATATAAATACACTCTGGCAAAGGTCAGATGTTATGACAGCAGTTTTGATCTTAGTATAGATGGCATAAAAGTCCCGTGTGATTGGTAAAAAATACAGGTCAGATTTACAGGGTATCATAATAAAACTTAAAAAAAAACCACTTCAAAGAAGTAAACGGAATATATTATAACTATCAAAATCGATTGAATTGGTAAAGAGTTTTTTTTTTTTTTTTTATATAGAAGAAGGGGCAAACGAGCATGCGGCTCACCTGATGTTAAGTGACTACCGCCGCCCATGATCAACCGCAACACCAGGAGAATTGCGGGTGCGTTGCCGGCCCTTTAGAAAGGAGTAAGCTCTTTTCTTGAAGGTCCCCAGGTCGTATCGGTCCGGAAAAATCGCCGGTGGTAAACTATTCCACAGAGAGGTTGTACGTGGAAGAAAACTCCTTGTGAAACGTACAGTGGTGGACCGCCAAGCATCCAGATGGTGTGGATGGTATCGGGACGGGAGTTACTCGCCCAGATGTCTTTGCAAATTGAATGATGATATTCTCATGGTTTATTTTGAAACCTAAAAATTAAAGTCGGTATTCCAATAATTTTATTGCGAAACCCTAATCAGCCTAATCTGTTCAACGGAACTAGACTCCAAGTAAACTCGCTACATGCGACGTTACAGGACCAGTTCCAGGGCAATTGGCTCATATTCCCCGCATTCAAATGATCCCTACACATTTACCTTTCCAATTTTAGCGGTTAAAGTTTCCAATAAAAGTTTCTTTCGCTATCACCACCAACATCAACAAATCCCTAGGCCGAGCTGATAATAATTAATTCGTTTCCACGAATTAATTATCCGAATAGTCTAGGACGAGCTAGTAGCGAGATAAAACAAGTGAACCGTGCCACGCCAGCGCTAAGACTGCCCTAACGGCTTTTTTTTGCGCCCGAATATGGGCAACCCTCCGGAAAGCGGGGGAGGGAGGTGTTGAGAATGTTCATAGCATACCACGCAGCCGGCTGCGTGGTTATGTGGTGACTTTTACCCACTAAACTCAACCTTTTAGGAATTGGCTTAACGATCTGACTAGAGATCTCTAAGCCGTATACGAACGCGACCCTCCTTGGCAGAAAGGAGGGCGCACAGAAAGGAGGGCGCAACCCTAACGGCGGCCGCTCCGTCCGTTTTATACAATCGAGACAAGTAGCTACACGAGTGCCACTGCAGGTGCAGTGGCGAAGCTTCCATTAAAGCCGAAAAGCCGGGCTTGCCTTATTAAACCTGAATCAATCAATAATATCAACTAATAAAATAACTCGTAAAATGTTTCAAGCTATTTCAAATTTCCCGCGCACTCCACTGTTCGACACATGTCGACCGATGACCTCGTATTGCCTTAGCGATACTGCTGCTGTCATAAATATGAGTTTTAATAGAGCTAATAGTTGTCTCCCTCGCTCGCTTGGGCTTTTTACGGGGCTTTCGAGAAGACGTTCGCCCTCTTTCTAACCTATGGCAAAATATTCTATACTACGATTGTATATATAGCAATTAGTATAAAGATTTAAAGCCAGGCTTTTGGGAATAAATTTGTTAAAAGCGGAGGCGCGCGGGCAATACGTTTACAAGTTCATTTCACGTTTCAATGTTTATTTACTTTGTGCTTATCTTAAGCGATTTAATATTACGAGTTCAAAATTTATGCTTTTTTAAAAAAAATTTATGAAAATGGAGGATAATAGTGTTCTTTGTGATGAATTGAAGTGTGTTAAAGTGATAATCGGAGAGGAAATCTTTAAACTTTGTTGAGATAATACACAAGGTTAAGAGTGTATTTCAGACTTATCAATAATCGCAATTAAAAACAGTTATTGGTACAATTAAAACGTTCACCAACATTTTACGTGGACGTAATTAAATCTTTCCATAAGAAAGCGGGACGATACCACTTATCTTATCTTATCTCTTATCCATTAGAATGTAAATATATATTTTTTTAATTTTGTACATAATTTGTTTGTATTTTGTTCGTGTTTTACTTTTGTTCATGTATTGTATTGGATGTAAATATTTTTTTCTTTCGATTAAACAAAACCAAATGGCTTTCTTCAAAGCCACCGAATCTATGCAATTGCTGATATGTAATACAATCTATCTAGCAGTGGTATGCCTTCTGTGTGCTTTGTTAAACACGTCCTTGACAGCACTGAATATGAAACTGAAGCGTGGAGACAGATCGAGATTGGTGTATTTTTATAAAACTGCTAAAAACAACAATCTATATTTTTATTAATTTATATCTTGGGCTTGCCCTAGCTTGGAGCTCTAGCTTCGCCACTGTGCAGGTGCAATGCGCAGGTGTGCGGTGCACGTGTTGTTTACAATAATTCCTACTACCCACAGAGGCGCTGTTGCACGTATAATTCGTACCAACATATTCACAATTTAGTATTTGTGATTTTTTTTAAAGACGTAACGAATGATATATTTTTCGTATAGGGTGATAACAATATAACTTTATATCATTGTGTTCGAATAAAAAAATAACTAATTTAATTGAGTGAGAGAGAACTATATGTAATTGAAATTAGGATGCATTAAATAAACAATGACATTAGGACGTCAAACATCTCAGTCCCCTCGTGACCATGGGGCTGTAAAGTGCACGAATTCCTTTTTGTATGGAGAGTAGGCCCTCCAAAAATTGTAGCGTAACTTAATGAAATGCATGTTGATTTATTGCCTATAATCTATAGATTACGATAGTAATATTAGTTTTACCGCATCTAACGGGAATACTGGGAAATTAACAATTAAAATATGAATATCACAATAACCTAAAAACAAACTCAAAGTGATTGTCTAGTTGTTTTCACCGGTATTATAAGTTAAAATGTACTGTTCATTCAGAGTTTACAGTTACTTTAAGATTGATGGAAATCCTTTTAGTACTTCCGGAAAAACAACAGGCACAGACGAAGAAACGTGGTGTGGAAACAATTTTTTCATGTATTGATCCTTTAGTGACAGTTTCTGGTACTAGTACTCATGTAGTATTTTATTATATTATTTCATGATTCCGTTCGAATTTTCATGAAATATTTAGGCAGTTTACTATAATAAATTGATATCCTTTTTTATATGTAATACCATTAAGTTACGTTAAATTTTCTAGTGGGGCCAAAAATGTCTCCTTTATGAAATCATTATAAAATGTCATGTTTAATACAAAAAAAGAAAGCACGTTTATTCCAGTTTAGTCCTTTAGTCTCGCAAATACTCGAAAACTGCTCGACCGATTATGATGAATTTTTTTGTGTGTGTTGAGTAGGTCCCTGGATGGCTTAAACACATTTCAATTGGACCCGGCAGGTGGCGCTGTTGTCTAGATCCAGAAATCAGCCGTGCGCAGCCAGGACGTATCGTTAGTCTTGAATATAAAAACTGTGCAGCTGCATAAAATTGCGAAACAGACCGGCCTCAGTGATACTTTTACACCGACCCATATCCTCTAATATATAAAAATTAATGTTTGTTTGTTTGTATTTTATCCGCTGTCATACTGTTCATCAGATTGCAGTAAAACTTAGTCAACTTATTACTTGCACTTGCACGAAGGTTGTAGGCATAGTACATTTAACGTATAGTAGGTGACCCGCCGATCGTACCGACAAAGTTATTTGTAAGTTATAGATCATTACATTTCAATGAATGTATTATTATTACTAATTAAACAATATAACTCATCCAAATAATAATATAATAATAATAATATTATAATAATTAATAATATTATAAACCGGTACGTCAGCGCAGTCAGTCAGCACCTTGCCGAGAGGTGTTAGTGCCGTGCCTCGGCAAAAATTGAAGGTGCAAAGGCCCGCTTGTGCACATGGCCTCACCACGAAACGGCGCCGGTTCTGGGCGTCTCCCGCTAAATGACGCCCACCAATATGGATGATGGAATACGGAAGAACGCGCAAAGGGCCGCTGCCTGGAGGTCGCCAGAGCGCGTCTGGAGCTGGCGCTGGACGCGACAGCATGCGAACCGCCAGTCGAGCGCGAGGTGCTGCACGACCACCCAGCAGCCCCTCGCATCCATCATCCCCACCAGCTGGTTTGGTGTCGGCAGGGTCTTCGCGGGCCCAGCAATCGGCACCCGCCACTGGTGAAGTACGCCGCATGCGTTGGACAACCCAGATGAACAGCAACGCACTGCGAGCGTATTTTAGGGCGAAAGGGGGAGAAACCGGAGGTTTTGCGTATCGGGCAAGGATGCATCGACTTTTTGCTAAGCTGGAGCCATCAGTAACCGTCACCGAGCAAAACCTCGCAGACCGAGTTCGGTATATCTTGCGCTCAAATACATTTGATGTCACCGAACTCGAACGGCTACGACGTGAAGCTGTTCCTTCATCGGGTGAAAATGCTGCGGCTGAGGATGCGGCGCCACAACTTGCTGAGCAAACGGCAAATGTGGATGCCGCCGTGAATACGCCAGTTGTGGTTGATTCAAACGATGACGGAACAGTCGCCCAGGAACTGGAACTAGAGCAAATGAGGAGTACATTGGAGGAGGCGATGGTGGAAACGCGCAGTACGCCGCTCGAAAATCGACCGCGACTTCCCCGCTTAGCCCTAAGCAAGCGGAATCGGGCTGTCGTGAGGGCTCTGAACCCAATGCTGGTTACCTACTTGGAAGCCAGCCGGGACCTTTGCGAGACGGACTCAATTCTTTTTGGCGCCGCACTGGCAGTCTGCCGTATTATAGGCGCCAAACTTTCCACGGCTGGACGCGCTACTGGACAAAGTAGTGCTATCCCAGCCTGGAGAATAAGAATTGAAGAACGTATCGCAAGGGCTAGGGCCCTCATCGGTAGACTGATATACTTCAGGTCAGGCAATTACAGGCCAAGGATTGTGCGCACCGTCAGGATGGCGTTTGCTGGGACAAATGTTAGTTTGTCCCAGCCGGATATAACGCAAAAACTGACGGAGCGCGTAGACGACCTGAAGCAAAGAATCGCTGCTTGGGGAAAGCGGATTCGGCGATATACCGAGAGGTCGACACGGTTCAACCAGAATTGTCTCTTCCAGACTGGGACTCCGTGACGGACCGCTCCGGGCTCAAATGCAGAAGGCGGTGCTCCTCGATACCGCCCGCATCGTCCGCCAGTTTCTTTCCCTTTCCCCCTAACCCTCGGTCGTCTGGTCTCCCCTTCCGAGGGCTCCCACCTGGTTGGATCTTATTTATTTATGTAGTTTTTGTATTTATTTTATTTTATTGATATTTATGTACATTTATCTTTTCATTTTAATTTATAATTATATATTTATAGAACCCAACCAGGTGAGAAAATTATATAGATACCCCAATAATAATATTTAATAGTGCGGCAACAACGCGCCGGTCACCAGCTTGTATTATTTATATAATAATATGACCTTTAAGTGATTACATGTTGACATCATTGGGAAATTACGCTCTGGGCACTGATATTGTTATATTTCGATATCGAGTGTCTGACTCAAAAGGTCATATTTGTTGTTTTTCCTGTGAGGATATGCCTGTTAATATTATTTACTTCTAATTAACTATAACTGATTCGAACTATATGCAATACGTTATTTTGTTTATGCTAGACATAAAAAACAGGGTACATACACAACATAAAAAAGAGGGTTCTATTTTCGATGCGTATGTTTTTTATGTTCGCTTTTTTCTCGGAAACGGCTGAACTAATTAAAATTATACGTTTTTTTTTTAAAATAAAGGACTAGGTATTCCCCGCGACTTAGTCTTGGAATTCATTGTGATTGGATTTCATGAGTTTAATTTTTATTTGCCCTAATTATTTTTCTAAAATAAAAAGAAATAGCCTTTGCGACTCCTTATAGCATCAGCTATGTGCCAGTGAAAGTCCCGTCAAAATCGGTCCAGCCGTTTTGGAGATTAGCCTGAACAAGCAAACAGACAGACAGACAAAAAAATGTTTTTTTTTAATGTAGGTACCGTATATACTTTCATATTCATTTAGTAAAAAACTGTTATTTTGACATTATAAATAGATTCTTGAATTTTTTTTTATTTGTATAGATTTCTTAATGTAACCATTTAGAATTTCACGACATTCTAGTTGTAAACTTCAATTTGTGATGTTAAAAAACACCTTAGAAAAATAAGTAAAAATAATAAAGTTTTAATTTGTTTTTTAGTTTTTGAAGTCAGTTATTACTTTGATTAAAACTACTTTTACGGATTTTATCCCGTTTTATTTATAATAATTTTAATACCCGACGTTTCGGGTGCTTTCCAGCACCCATGGTCACGGGGGACTGAGGTGACTGACGTCCCGATGTCAAAGTTAACCCGGAGTACCTTCAGCTTTTTAATTATTGTCTTTGGTCCGATGAACTAACTGTGTTTTGAAGTCTTGCAGTGGTATGCTTGGGTTTAGTTTTAATTTTATTAATTATAGGATCCCAAGCAGGTGGTAGTAACCAGCCTCCTTCTCTATTGAAATTAGGATGTTTTTTAATTTCAATAGCCTCACGTATCATCCTTGGTAGGAATCGATGTTCTTTCGCGAGGATTTGTGTTCTATCAAATCTGATGTAATGGTTGGGGCCATCTAGAATATGATCGCAAACTGCAGACTTCCCGGAACGTTGATGCTTCACGTCAGCTATGTGTTCTTTTACGCGGGTTCTAATTGATCTCTTTGTTTGCCCTATATATGAGAGACCAAAATCACAATCAAGCTTGTACACTCCTGCATCTTGTAGAGGAATATGACACTTGACGGATGGTAAGAACTGACTAATCTTCTTCGGCGGCTTGTAAAATGTTCTAATAGAAGCTCGCTTCAAGATGTAGCCAATCTTGTCTGTGACACCTCTGACATATGGTAGTATAGCAGACACACGCTCGACTGTGGCCGGCTTCACTCGGTCACTGTGACGGAGGCGCGGGACCCGAAGCTTGTTGTCGTGCAGAACCTGCTTGACGTGCTGAAGCTCGGCAGCCAGGTGTTTGCTGTCACAGATCCCTCGTGCTCTCTGTAGCAAAGATTTGCCCACGGTAGCTAACTGTGAAGGATGGTGGTGAGATTCACCATTTAAGTATCGGTTTGTATGGGTCTTTTTTCTATACACAGTATGAACTATGGTGTTGTTAGGATTTCGGATGACTAACACATCTAGGAAAGCTAAGGAATTATTTGCCTCTAATTCCATAGTAAATTGAATTTTAGAGTTTATGGAATTAAGATGTTCTAAAAATGCAGTTACTTTGTCTGATGGTTAAATTGTGAAAGTATCGTCTACGTACCGCTTGTAGAACCTTGGGGTAACAGGTGCAGTAAGGAGGGCTTTCTCCTCAAAGTCTTCCATGAATATATCGGCGACAAAGGGAGATACAGGTGAGCCCATCCATTGCAACACCCTCTACTTGCTTGTAAAACTCTTCCTTCCACAATAGATAGCCAGATGTAAGGCAATGTCTTAGTAGTACTGCATATTCTGGTGGCATGTTATTTTCATCTAGTTTCTTAGTTATAATTGAGATGCAGTCTTCAACAGGTAGGCATGTAAATAATGACTGATTGAATACTAGTTTTTACGGAATTTATCGCGTATATTTAACTTTTTAAATACCCGACGTTTCGAACGCTTTACAGCACTCATGGTCACGGGCGGGACTGAGATGTTCAACGTCCATAAATGTCATATTTAACCGCGGTTACCATAGACTAAAATTTAACTTTTGTTCCGATCTATACAGTATGAACTTATGGTATCTTGAAGTCTTGCAGTTGTATGCTTGGGTTGGGATTTAATTTTATATATTATCGGATCCCAAACAGATGGTAGCACCCAGCCATCTTCTCTATTGAAATAAGGATGTTTTTTGATTTCAATAGCCTCGCGAATCATCCTTGGGAGGAATTGGTGTTCTTTAGCGAGGATTTGCGGTCTATCAAATCTGATGTAGTGACGGGGGCGATCCTGTACGTGTTCACAGACTGCAGACTTCCCGGAGCGTCGATTCTTCACATCAGCTATATGTTCTTTAACGCGGGTTTTTATTGATCTTTTAGTTTGTCTTATGTAGGAGAGACCACATTCACAATCAAGCTTGTACACTCCTGCATCTTGCAGAGGGACATTGTACTTGACTGATGGTAAAAACTGACCAATCTTCTTCAGCGGCTTGAAGTATATTTTGATGGAAGCACGCTTCAAGATGTAGCCAATCTTGTCAGTGACTCCTCCAACATATGGCAGTACAGCAGGTACACGCTCGACTGTGGCCGGCTTCACTCGTTCACTGTGACGTAGGCGCGGGACTCGAAGCTTGTTGTCATGCAAAACTTGCTTGACATGGTGGAGCTCTGCAGCCAGGTGTTTACTGTCACAGATCCCTCGTGTTCTCTGAAACAAAGATTTACCCACGGTAGCTAACTGTGAAGGATGGTGGTGAGAATCACCGTTTAAATATCTATCTGTATGGGTCTTTTTTCTATACACAGTATGACTCAAGTTGTTATCAGGATTCCTAATTACTAACACATCTAGAAAAGCTAAGGAATTGTTTGCCTCTAACTCCATTGTGAACTGAATTTTAGAATTTATAGAGTTAAGATGGTCTAAAAATGCAGTTACTTTATCTAAAGGTAGAATTGTGAAAGTGTCGTCTACGTATATGTCAATGTGTAGTGTTCGCGTAAATATAAGAAATCATTAAATAAAGACTGAACATCAAAACTGACCATGGTTTCATTGTCAGTAAGACGTAGGTCTCTTATCTCACTTACAAAATGGTATGAATCCTTAGTATGTGCTCTTGTGTGTCCTCTGAGTGGTGATAATATTTTGGCTAAGTGTTGAGCCAATCTGTAAGTTGGGGAATCGATTTGACTCACTATTGGACGTAATGGAGCGTTAGGTTTGTGTATTTTTGGTAACCCATACAACTTGGGAGGTTTTGCACGCGAAGGTATCATCGAATTGACGCTAGATTCAATTTCTCGGAGTATTTCTTAATTAGATCGCTAGTTGTTTTAAGCGTATTAGTTGTAGGGTCTGTTTTGACCTTACGGTATGTACTTTCATCCGACAAAAGTTGTTGTATTTTAAAATTGTAATCCGACGTATCCAATACAACCGTAGCATTTCCTTTATCTGGGCGGAGAATCGTAAGCTCTGGTCTGTTGCGTAAGGTTTTCAACGCGTTAAATTCATTTTTGGGAAGATTTAATTTCGGCGTTGTACTTCGACGTAACATAGATGAAATGTCTTGGCGTATGGCCTCTAAATATTCATTACCAATATTATTTTTATACAGACAATCCTCAACACTACAGATAATGTCTTCATACGGGATTCTTCGCGGTGTAATTGCATAATTAAAACCTCTTCCTAAAACTTTTAATGTGGCGTCGTCCAGAGTTTGTTTTGACAGGTTATAGACCACGCCTTGTTTACTATTCGTGTCTGTGGTCGTTTCGTTCTTACGTTGCCATTGATGTTGGATATTTGATTTAGTTGTTAATTTTTGGTATTTATCAATATGTTTATTTTTGCATTCATTGTATTTAGTTGTTACTTATTACTTTGTATAAATTTTTTTTAACTAATTTAATGCTGTTTGTTATTTTCTTTATATTTTTATGTTAGGAGAAATACCGGTGCGACACTTTATAGTACTTAAACAACAGCATAAATACATCTCACTGTTGGGTACAGGCTTCCGTTGCTTATCTCTGAAGATGTTTTCTGAAGGAGTCCCTGTTCCAACTTGCGTTAGGACAGGGACTCCTTCAGTTTCATTAAACTCATCCAAATGGCCTTGCTAGGAACAAGGCTTTTTAGAAGGCCATTGTAATAAATCATTGATTCAACGCTAAAGTTTAATAAATACCGATTGAATCTACAATAAAAAGAATTGGTTTATATGTTACGTAATAAACAAAGTATTACTTAAATATTTGATAGTTTCATTTATCTAGTAAATAAACGAATAATAACTGTTTATTTATTAGAGTGGCCTTCCATGGTAAACCCACCTTCTTTTAACGTCGTCGATTCCTGAAATCAATGAAGCGCGGGACCGTACTGCCAAAATAGTAGCGCGAGCGATTCGCCGCCGCGTTCGTGATTTTCAGTTCGATGGGTGTTTGTGTAAGTAGAAGGAATTTGTCATCACATGGCATAACTACGACATTTTAGTAATTGACCATCGAAGGAGCATAGCCTTCCATGGTCCACCCACCTTACAATTTACATGTACCACATTTAGCCGTCATTATCGACTGCGGGAGTGATACCGACCACAACGCAACCACGACGCAACCACTACGCAACCACGACGCAACCACGACGCAACCACTACGGAACCACACGGAACTAGCGGCCGGCCACATCGCACACACAACATTGCGTCGACGCCACGACTGTCGTTGCAATGCAACCACAGCGCAACTGCAAACAGCTGCAGCGACACTATTCACACGTGACCACATTTTGTCGTGCGATGTGGTGTCGTTGTGTGGGCCGACACTTTAAAACGATATTTTAAAATTGAGTTGCGGAGTAGTTCGTTACGCGTATCTTTCACCCAAATACTCAATATTTGGGCAAAAGATCCGCGTAACAAAATAAAATTATGCGTCTTACCTACTTTGAAGAGAGCCTCACGCCCTCTCTCAATTCGTGCACTAAACCCGTCGCCACTAATCTCCAGCAAAACTACTCACAACACCACTACACTAGTAAAGATATAGTACTGTAGATAATACGACACGTGTTTCGCTTCGAAACGGGGCATCTTCAGGTGAAGTAGACTGCACGCAGACTCACTATCATTATAATGAAAAAATTTTTTTTCGATTGCTGACCTTATACCTAAAGTTGCTGGTGGTTCCACAAGAAGATTCCCGAAGATACAGGAGCTCCTCTTCTGTTTTAATTTTCTTATTATTTACGTCTAGCAGAGGCTTGCAATTGTCTAAATACTGACACTCTCCAGTGTAGCCATTTGGCATCCTACATTTTTGGTCTGCAATAAGATACGGTAATGTTTTATTGATCTAAGCTCTGTCTAAATTTGGTCATGGGACATTTTATTCTGCCACAGAGTACGTCTGAGGATTACCCTCGTTGACAACGTATCTTTGGCCTGTTTTTGAAGTTATTTTTACATTTACATCCAGTGTCGTCGAGGCGATATACATAGATAAACATGCAGACTCGGAATAATGTTTGTACTCATAAATACTTGTCGCGTACGGGATTTGAACCCAGCTAAGCCCCTACACTACGCTACAGAACCGTGAATTTATTTGTATGGATCTTGGCACTTTCTTATTTTTATTTTTATAAAATAATTTTGACTCACGAACACACAGTCCACCTGTTGGTAAGTACGAGTAGATAGATGCTGTGGCATCTGTGTTTGATTCAAAATCAAAATGCAGATGCGTTGTCACCCATGACACGGTAATATTATCTATACAGTATTGTAACTCGGCCGCATCTTTGAAATAAATGCCTACAGCCGCGCGGTACATATACATGCGATAGGGCTGGCCTGCCTCCAGCATTTTTACATTTGCCTACTTTGTGTTTCCAATACGAAACGCCCATTTTGGCGGTTGGGTCATAAATGTGTTATTTTTCCAATTCTCATTTATTTTTAGTGTAAAATGTAAGTAAAAATAGTTTTCTTACATATTTCAAATAACTTGACGTTGTATTTATTTCAAATTCACACAAAAATATTTTTGAAATATTGTTCGAAATGTCATACAGATAAATATTATTATTATTTTTTTTTAATTTTTTTATATTTTAATATTTTGGTATGAGTAACGAATAGAAACACATAAAACATAAAAATATACATATTTCCAAACATTTTCATATAAATTTCTCCAAAAACAAAAGTGTAGAATTCAAATTATTAGTAATTTTGGCACTAAAAGTGAAGTATATACTACTACTTATGCTATAAAGGGTAATTTATGAATTTTATTATAATTTCTAACAACCAAAATAATTTTATTCAATAGTTTATACATTCAACAAGAATTCCTGTAAGTTTTATCCATAAATATTGTCTCAAAGTGAAAATATAGCAAAATTTGCAATATAGCAAAAAATTTGCTAATTTGCAAATTTTCCCGCCATTACGGTCGCGAGCGAACGGGAGTGTCATATTACGCGTGGCCTCGCGAGCTAACAGGTTAGTTTTATGATTGTAAATATACTTTTTTTATATAAACAAATATAATAGGTACTTTGTGAATTGAATAGGAAGTGTTCAATAAAAATTCGTGTCGTTTTTGACTGGTAGATATAATTAAAAAACCATGTTTATGTTTGAATAACAAATCGGTCTTATGAATTTGCGACCGAAAAATATTTGCGCCTCGGCTGAGACGTACGAAATGATTTATTATTAAATTTTTAAGTATAAAAAATCCGCATTCTAATATAAAGCTTAATTAAAAATTGTTTTGAGAAACGTGGAAAAGGTGGAGAAAAGGAATATCTTTTACTTGGTTATAGAGGTATCTATATTCTATACCAGGTAAAAAATATTTTACAATTTATATGTTTGGTTTTAAATGAAGTTCAGATTTATTATTTCTTTATATCTATTCTATTATTTATTTCTTCCATTTTTTTATATATTCCACAAAATCATCACTGCGGCACAGTCACGACCATTGAGTTATACAACACTAGAGGAGCAAACCACATTACCGCGCGTCGAAAAAAGTGTAACCACTATCCAAACGCGATGACGTAGCTTTGAAACTAATAACAATTTTATGTAAACATATATCTATCTCACTTACACAAGTTGTGAAAACCATATCGTCGTCGTAAGATTAGATAAAGATAGACACACAAACATGCAATGGCGGGTTGGTGTGGCTTACTATATGAAATTTTACCTAAAATACAAAATAAATATGAGTTTTTTTAAGCTGGAGTTAATTGTTTTTATATTAAAAAAAGTATATTTTATTTTAAAATCTTTATTACGTCCCCTTAGAAAAAAAGGGATACAAAGCTTATCAGATGAATAGAGTAAACATAATGATGAAATAAAACGTATTTTTATGGCTCTAATAAATCAAACAATATAAAATAGGTATCTAATAAAATATAATTAATATAAAATTTATATGAAATTATAAATAATATAAAATTATTAATATAAAATAGGTAATAAAATATATTTTATAGATAATTCATGAATAAACTAAAATAAGAATAATTAATTATTTTGTATGAAAGTTAAAACGTAGTTTTTATTATAATTTCCAAAATATTTAAAATCAGAGGTAACAAATTAACTTACTCCATTAATTATATAGTCTCCCATTAATGTAGGATAATCACAAATGCGGAAAAGTGGCAACATTGAACCTAAATGGCAATATTCGATAATTTTATTTAATTATTTGAGGTTTTTTACGTTTATATGAAAACAGGAACTAAAAATTATGTGTTGAAAGTGATGCCGCTTGATTTATTACGTTTTTGTGACCTTGAATAGCATTCTTTCACTACACATTTACCCATTTTTGTCGCGGCTCAACTCTGTCGGCGTCACATTGAACAATGAACTCACGTTAGCTAGGCATATGGCTGTGGCCATATGTGCAGTGGCAACGCTTTGGCGCGGTTATTACTGATCTAGGGTTATATAAATCAATGGTCACGACTGTCTGCATGCCGAGCGCATGCCGAGATCGAGGCGCGTAGGCATAGCTCTCGCTTCGTCCGTTTGTATGGAGTTGGAGTACTGTATAGATAAAATTACCGTGCCCATGAGGACTAAGAGATGGAATGTCTCGTTCTTATTAGAAAGGGTCTCCGCGATTTTTACACTGACCATACGAAATACCATAAAATAGCATTATTAAGCTGCTATTACAGGCTGATTTTAAATGAGAGCCATATATACACCACACAACCATACTTGATACATATAAAAAGACATATAAAAAGAAAATGTAAGTCATAGGACTGCACATATTTTTATATGTATATTTATTTACATAAATATTTTTAAGAAGTATTTTTATTAGAAATAATTTTTATCGACATATAGCAATAAAATTTTCATTTATTGCGATGTTTGTATTTGTATTACATAGATAATTACTATTATCTATATAATACAAATAAATTCATAAAATTTTATCAGTTGGGGTTTCCACTTTACTTTCATCAATTTTATGTGTCCGATCGTGACGATCACGCGAGTTCATTGATTTTTCTCCATCCCAAAAGTGCCCAAAGTGCCTTAAGAAGTTTACACTTCAAAAATTTTTTCAATACTCACGGGCATATGACGAACCGATTGATATTATCACAACTATCAAAGTAACTTTAAAACGCAAGTTTTGTACTGTCATTGTGTAACTTATCTTTTTATTTATTTTTCAACAAACACGGATTATCAAAAGAGCGAACAGGTCCAGTCAAGATGCCGAGCGGAGGTGCACTGACCACTGATGAACTCGTTTCGTTGCGTTGAAGGAAATTATAATAAATAATGCGACGTAGAATGTAAACGTCGTGCCCCTTTTTAGACATATTGCGGCAATGGAGTTATGCGAGATTTGGAAAGGTAAACGTTTTTATGGACAAGGAGTGTAGAAAGCTAACATTTATATACAAGGTGTTAAATAAAATAAAATAAAACGTTCATTGTTTAAGTTCTTACTGCCAATGTGAAACTGTCTTTTTAAGTCGGTGATAAACAAGGGAGCAATCCACTTGTAGTCAGACGTTCCCAGCAGCTGAGCCTTTTCTACATCGCAAACTTCCAGTAATATCAGATCCAGAGGTGTAAACTGGGTTAATTTAGTCGGTGGGCGACTTTAGTCGGTGTGAGTCCGACAAAATCCGTCCTTGCCTCCGCGAAGCGGGTATACGTAAGCATTTTCCATTTGTTAGAGACGCGGCATGATTATAGATTGGAAGTCATTCCATCTTAGTTCAATAGATAACAACTAGTAAGAAATTTTGTTACCATCATAATGATGATGAAGTAAGATTTATGTCGCTAGCTAATAATTAGAAACCACTAGTGTAAGAACGTGTATACAGCGTCCTACAGATGGATTCTCGCGTTCTGTGTGTCCTGATTGTTATGTTGTTTTCCTGTTATTGATATTAATAACGCTTACAATTTGTGTTTGAAAATTGTTTCCTAACGCTTGCAGTCGTAATCGTGAGATATCGATCATTGATCGATTTTAATTTTAGTCAACCTATAATCTACTAATTTATTTTTATTATGTGAAATAAACTTTAAAACTTTATAATAAACTCGATTCCTTCAATCATCTGTCAATTTTTCTCTCTACTCCTTTGCACTCTTCCACCTTTTAGAAGAAATATTTTTACTGTAACTGCTGCGCGTTTGTGGAACTCTTTGCCTCTTCACATTCGTCGTGCTAAATCTCTTTACTCCTTCAAATGACTTGTTAAATCGTATTACTCAGAACGTTATTAGATAAATTACTTTTCCTTTTTCGTACTCTCTTCATTTCATCTATCATATCATATTATATATAATTTTCACTTTTCTTTATTTATATGTAAGTGTTTTCATTTTTTGTACGCCCCCATCTGATGCAAACAATTGTTAAAATAACTATTGTTTGCATCAGTTCGCTACGCAAAAGTTGTCTGGAGGAGATCACTTTCAGAGTGATAAGACTGCCTGTTGTGCATATTGCTCTTTTTTAATTTATTCTTATAAAGGGAAAAATAAGATTACTTACTTTTTAAATTTTGCCAAACTAAACCAGTTTGTTGGCAAGGCAACTGTTTATCGTTTCACACTCCTTAATAACAAAATCTGGTACTTAAATAAATAATAATAATAAATAAATAAACTTTAAAGCCGGCCCTAGCCATAATAATACACTTTTTTTAAACGTGTGTACACCATATGCATATCTTCATTTACATTGTTGGTACCTGGTTGACCGAGCTTTGCTCGGTATTTTATTTTTGGAAATCGTTTTTTTTGGAAATTATATTTAGACACAAATTACATACTGATGAAACATAAATAATATTAAATAATGAAACATAAAATTTGACGACTCCGTGGCGCAGTGGCTTAGCAATGAGTGGCTGCGCTTGGGGGTCGCGGGTTCGAATCCCGCACGGAACAAGTATTTGTATGAATAATTGTTCCGGGTCTGGATGTTTGTCCTTGTGCAATTTATGTTTGTAAACTGCCCCCACGATACAGGAGAAAATACTAGAGTAGGGGTAACGTTTAAAAAAAAAAAGGAAAAAAAAGGAATATTTTTTGATCTTATTGACATAATAGAAAAAACTGAACGGGTTATTTGAATAAAAAATCATGAGTGCAATTAATTTAATTTAAATTTTCGTATTTTAAAAACACAGGCTAAAAAGGGGCTAGAAGTAATAGATTTTCTAACAAAAGAAGGGAACTTGAAAAAAAAGGGAAAAAAGTCGGGCCGTAGACAGGACGCGAACCAGGGCACTACGATGTCGCGACGGCTCGATATCCACTTGAGCTATTACGATCATTAATATAGTGTCAAAATTTACTTTCTTATATTGTAGCAGTTTTTCATTGCCTGAAAACACGGACTAGCTAGATTGATTTATTACCCCCTAAAACCCCTGGACACTAAATTTTCTGAAAATTTAGTGTCCAGGGGTGTTACTATGAGGATAGTACGTGACGGTAATATGATCACTTTCTTATATCTATAAAACTACAGCCTTGTTTGCATAGATCTTCATCAGTCAATCATGTAAAAAGGGCGCTTCTTTATCGACGCCATTTTGACAGTCGTCTTTATAGTAAATATTTTAGTCGATTTTAGTATGTTGTAGTTAGTTTGTGTTTTTTAAGTTGATTTTTCGAAGTGTTCGTAGTTGTTGCCAAAGCTTGTTTGTTTGTTTTTTCTTAATATATTAGATACGGTATACGACTTTGTATTTATGTATCTGTCCTCCTCCTAGTTTTGGTTTTACAGTGCTTGTAACCCTCGCGTACCTTATTATATTTGTTACAATTTTTATATATATATATATATATCTATTATAGCGATTTGTGCTATATTACTTACTCGGAGCTTCGGCGTGTAGTGGCGGCGTAAGAAATTCCACTACCCTAATCATTCCGTGGGTGTCGTAAGGAGCGACAGAGGAAACTTTACATGAATAACATAAAACATAAAACATAACATAAACACTCACGCCTGTCACCCTGAGGGGTAGGCAGAGACTACAGACTTCCATTTGGCACGATCCTGACACACCTCTCTAGCCTCCTTCACATCCATACACCTACGCAAACATGCTCGTCGGTTAAGGGTACTCCTAATTTGGCCCGTTTTTCATAAATCGCCAATTTGGTCGATAAATTTTCGCCTAGGACGTCCCTTTCCGACTCTGCCATTCACTTCTGCAACATAAATTTTCTTTGTCACTCTTTCCTCATTCATTCTTTCCACATGACCAAACCACCGAAGCATTCCTTTCTTAATCCTGGTCACAACATCATCTTGCAAACCACACTTTTCTCTTATTACACAATTTCTTACCCTGTCATTCAGATTCAGCCCTAACATACTCCTTAACGACCGCATTTCTACTGCGTTGATTCTACTCTCGTGCTTCTTCTGCCACACCCAACTTTCACTACCATACGTTAAAGTAGGGACCAACACAGCATTGTGAATTGCCATACGTGCCTTTTTTGACACATTTTGACTCTTCACAAAAGAGTGCAGGGCCCGATTTACTCTATTTCCCGCATTCACTCGTCGTTCTATATCCTTATCATATCTCCCATCCCTGCTAAATACGCAGCCCAAATATACAAACTCATCTACTTGCTCAATCAACTCCCCTTCTATTCTTATTTCACAAATCGTTTTACTTTCTTCTCTTTCAAAAACCATAACCTTCGTCTTACTTGCGTTCACTTTCATAACCCTTTCTTTTAATGATCTGTTCATTAATGTAACCATCATTTGCAACTCGGCCACCGACGACCCAAGGATAACTTGATCATCGGCGTACAAAAGGCATTTGACGATTAACTCACCCATTCTTAAACCGCATTGTTCAACTTTCAAATTTTGCAAACAACTGTCCATAAATAGGTTGAACAGCCACGGGGAAGCCACATAGCCCTGTCTGACACCTTTATGGATGTCAAACCAGTTCGAGTAGACCCCGTTGATCCTAACACAAGCACTAGAGTTCCTATAAAGAGACTCCAATGCCTGTATCAAGCCAGCGTTCAACCCAAATGAGTTTTTATTTATTTATTTATTTATTTATTTAACACCAACAAGACATACGCTAACAAAAGCATAATATTTTTGCAAAAAATCATAAAAACTAAGCGTAGACTTAATTATAGGTGTTACACACATTTCATTACAAAAAAATAGACACAAGTAAAACATATGCAGTGAATTAAATTGAATACAAAAATTAAGAGATCAATAAATATATCAGAATTTAGTGTTATATAATTAATTAAATTAAATCATGCATATTCCACTATTGTTATTAACATTAGAAATTTTATGAACGTTAAACATAAAAAAATAAAATCATTAATAAATTATAATATACAATCATTTCCTAATCACAATTTAGCTTAAAGAAAAAATAATATAATTTTACTGTGAATTACAATTATTTGAGGAATATAAATGTAATAAATCACGTTTAAATTTCCAAAAATTATCTGAAAATATGTCAATATCAACTTTTCTATCTTTATTTTTGTTATCATTAGTCATTATGGCACCAATACTATTCTTATGTGATAATTTATATATAGCATTAAAACTCAACATCAGTCTATTAATCGGAGAATAGCGCGCTTGACGAGAACGTGTGCTCTTTTCTACGAATGGTATATAAGACGACGGCCTTTTTGACTTCAATGCGGTACGAAAATTTAATTTGGCTAGTAAGTAAGAACTATCAATGACGCCATTCACCAACTTATACAAGAAAATAAGGTCAAGGAGCTGTCTTCGATTCGAAAGTGGCTGAAGCTTAAAGTAATTTAGCTTATCTTCGTAAGTTCTAAGAGTTTTAACTAGGTTATGATCGTAAGATAAATGCAAAAGAAATCTCTTTTGTATCCTTTCAATTCTATGTGAGTAAATATTAAAGTGGGGATTCCATACTACGCTGCAGTATTCCAAGATACTTCGTACCATGGCTGAGTAAATAATTATTTTAGTGCGAGTATCCCTGAATTGCTTACAGTTACGGAAGAGGAAGCCAAGAGTCCTAAAACCCTTGTTGACAACATTATCTATGTGGATATTATAACGAAGCTTATTGTCAAGCATAACTCCTAAATCGCGTATGTGAGGAACTTCAG